TTCCCGTCCAAAGGACCGGTGATGCAGGCAGGCTACGTTGCTCTGACCCGCACTTGGAAACGACTGTTTCTCAGTGTCTGGTAGCAAGAGACTTCATAAAGAGAGAACAGGACTGGCTCTCCAGGCAGGAGAGAACTGGATTGCCTGGTCCACTTAAATACGTCCTCCCCAAACCCTTAACTATGATCACCTGCCAGCTTGTTTCCATGGCTAAAGATGTTTTTAGTGACACTTCTCCTCTGCTTTTCTGCACCTGCCTTGCCGAATCTCCCCGACTTCTCCCAGCCTTAAGCTCACCTCTCACAGAGGTGACCAGACCGCTTCAGCCCACGCACTGACCTTTCTCTGCCCTATGCAAGCAGGCTGTAAATCTGCGGTGTTAGCGGTAACCTACTGCTTTCCAAGCAAGCTGGTACTTGCAGCCCAGCAAGCCCAGTTAAACCAGGCAGCACTAAGCAACGAAAGCCACTGAGACCTTGGCAAAAAACAAAAGCAGAGGGGCGTGAAGGGAGCGTGGAGACAGCCTGCTGCCTGCAGCCCTGTGCAGCGCTCTGCAGGCAAAGGGAATCACTAACGATGCAGACCTGCACGTACAAGCTCCCCTTCTCCTTTACATGGAAAACATAAGGAAAGACATAGCCTTGTTCTCCATCATCAGGTACCCACTCTGTTCTCCTCAGGCACCTGAACCTGGAGGTCAGCGAAGGGCCTGGGTGCTGACATCCAAGACCCTGCATACCCACACGCTACCGCTAGCCCAGAGGAGCTCTTTGACCGCCCAGGTGGGGATTAAGAGAGCATCTCTGCAGGTGCAGGGCTCCGTTCTGCAGTTGCCCAGCCCAGTTAGGAGACAGCAGGAGAGGAGAGATGAAGCTCACGGGATAAGTCAGTAGCCTTCCCGATTTTATTTTTTCTTCTCCCTCTTAAACACATCCAGGGTTGCCACGATCTGATCTCAGGCACTTCCCCAGCCTCCTCCTTCCCCACAGCAAGCAGAAGCGCCTCTCGGCTCCTCTCCCAGACCCACCTTTCAGAGCTCAATACTGTATTTGCCCAAATACCAGCTGCATATTTCAAGGCAAAATCTGGGGATAAAACCCAAGAGAACAGCTATTATAGTGTCGTTTGAGACCAGGCAGGTAATCTGTTGCACAGTACCAGCAGGGGAAACAGGGGAAAAGCAGTTACTACTTTTTGCACAGCCATTATTCAAGAAAACAGGGTAGCACAGTAATGCAGAACGTAACCGACTGGTTCCAGCAGATTTTTCAGCCTGCCAAGCCGGGCTCTGCCCCACTTCACTGCTCAGCCACTCCACTCCTCCCTTTCCAGGTCCCCCCTCCCAGAATCGGGCTAACGGACCCCCTTGCCAACAGATAAGCTGGCAGAGGGCACCAGATCAGCACAAAATGGGAAGAGGGCTGCTCTGTGTGGGCCTTCGCTGTGCTTCCTCCCACCAGTGCATGGTATCCACTGAAGTCCTCTCAGCCGTTTCCCCCTTAAGTCCTCTTTTCGGATTATTAATGCCGAAACAATGCAGCAAGCCCCAGTGATAAGTTGGAGGCCTATCGGAGTCTAAAAGCACATTCCTTCCTCAGCCTCCTCCCTCCTTATCTCCTTCCTCCCTCCCCCAAAAACATGTTCAGATAAAAGTTATTGGAACAATAAAATCCATAACTTAAACATGAGCACAGGCGAGGAACGGAGGGAGGGTCTCTGTCCAATGCCCCTTTGATCAGCCCTACCAGAACAGAAAAGCCGCACGGGAGATCCCACGATCGCCTTTGAAACGAACCCCAGCGCCGGACCGAGGATCACTCTGGCAAGAGACCGCAGCACGCGTGCTCTCCAGCAGTCCGGTTATACGGCCTGCCTGCACTCACCTGTTTGAAACCAATTCTGCACCAACTTTGAGTGCTCTCCTAGTGCCTTACTTACCTGGGGTGAGTCAGATTAAGCACACGGTACATGAAGCTGCACCACTTTTCACCATGCTTTCTTCCTGCATGTTTGTTTTGAGAGTCTTTTTTTTAAGTCCAAAGCAGGTGCTGCAAGTGCCTGTGGCCCAGCTTCCCTAGAAACAGCAACACAAGACAGAGCCGGACACACGCACGCTTTCTTTGACACTGCTGCGGTCAGAATTGATCAGCTTTTCTGCGCAGGCAAACCCGGAGGCTGGTGCTGCCCAGCTGTTAGCGTGCTCAGGGCTGTGGTCCAGCACATCAGTCCCATCGCCCTCCTTCCCTTCAATATTTAATGGCAATCTGCTTCTAATTACCACCGCGTGCCCCCAGGAACCGCGGACCACACTTCCAGCAAGGGGCTTGCAGAGCTCACGCTGCCGTGGCAGGTTAGCGTCTACAGAGCTCCTTCGTCACCAGCAGCCCAGGCTGACCGCTTCTATCAGACTGGCTTCCCCTCCCGACGTCCTCGGCATTTCAGGTCAGATACATACGCCCGTGCAATCCTGATGACACTAATGGAGTTTTGACCACCCCGCTTGACATTTACTAGACCCCTGAATTCAGTCTTTGGCTGCATGCAAAGAAGTGGCCCAGGCCCAGCCTGCTGCCCAAGGGTGGAGCGGTCAGAGCACGGCTTAAGTCATAGCCTGGTGCTTCTCAGAAGTGACAGACCCTCCACAAGTCACTTTGGTTCACTCACCCACAGCCCAGGGATAACAGCTGTTTCACCGTGCAGCAACAAGGCTCAGTCCGCTTCTGGTCGAGGTCGGAGATCCACGGAGGACAAGCATCCCCTAAGCGCAGAGTCGCTCCTTCCGTAACGCACAGCTGAGCCCACGGCCGCAGGCACCAAGACGCGCAGAGCGGCACCTGAAAACCTCAGACCTGGGGGAAAAGGGGGCTGTAAGCCCCATTAGCACTGCCGGCCTCCGCACTCTCAGCGCGCAACGTTTCCACAGCTCCCAGTGCGGACTGGGGCTGCTCCCAGCGCATCCCTGCCCCTGCGCCCTGCCCCAGCGACTCACCTCGCGTAGGCTTCCATGTAAAACGCAGCACCGAAGCACGCCTCCTAGGAGGATGGCTTGGGCTTTAGTTTTAAAGGGAAAATAAGAGGCAGGAGGCAATGAAAGAGGCCTAGTTCAAAATCAGTTTCACTCTTTATTTGAAGTTTTACATGCCACCAGCGTACATGAAAGCTGCACATTCAGATTTTGGTTCACTACTAGAACAAAGGGCCAGATGCAAATACAAGTGTCACACGAGTGCACAGATGGAGGAGCGTGAACCGAGGAGCTTGCCGGTATTTGCAAACGGGCTGTGCGGCGTGCTGGCGTCACTTCACTCGTTAGAGGCCAGCCCACCGTTTTGAGGGCCACCCCTCGCTGCCATCTCCAGGGTGCTGGCGGTGACCTGGGTCCTCTCCCCCAAGCTCCCTTTCCACAAGCTAGACCGGCAGGTTTGGTAACATCTCTGCCTGAACCAAGGGAGCTTGGAGTCCAACCGCCCATTTAATGCTTTTCCGAATTCCCCTTTCTATCAATGCCAGCAGTTTTTACAATGAGAAACAATTTCCACCCGCCGTTTATACGGGAGAGACGACAGAAATAGGGACTCTTACACTGACATTTTATTTTCAAAGAAAGTTTTGATAGAAAAACATTTTTTCCAGCAGCCTTGGGCAGGGAGTTGCAGCTTCCACTTCAAAGGACAAACTTCAAAAACAAATCCAGTGTCCTAACGGTTTTGTGCTACATTACTTAATTGTCATACAGCTAATTAGCAATGCCTGATTTCACATTCTCCGTACAGAGATGAAGTTCACAAAAGAAGGGGCTACTTAAAATAATAAATAAAACAAGGCACCAGGCAGCCCGACTCTGACAACATTAACATAAAACGTTACACTTTACCATTTTAAAAACTGAAATAAAAACCCCATCATAATTAAACCTATATTGATCAGCCTTCCTTCAGATCTCAGAGCTTTGAATTTCCACAGGGAAGGGGGAAGGACGCGAGGCAGGAAGCGGGGGCTTAGCGCGCGCGCCTGTGTATGCATTTTGCCGGAGCGCAGCAGAGATCTTTAAAATTCTAATTATTTCCCTATCGCTAAGTAAGATCGGGATCAATAGATGGTACAAACTGACCCCTTTCCTCGAGTGTCAGGGGAAAATTAAAAAAAAGAGGGGGGAAAAAAAAAAAAAGAAGGGGAGGGAGAAGCGAGAGCGTCAGAGGTCAATGCCACAAAACAATAGATATTGATGTCTCCATTCATTTCAAACAGCGGAAAGGTCAATGCCTCCCTTGCTTCATGTTTTATGGCTGAAATCCTGCTGCTAACAGCAACAATGTTAGTAGTCAAACCTCATCCATCCTTTTTTATTATTATGATTATTTCTAACCAGGTTAGCCATTTTGAAAATTTGACGAAAGCTGGGAAGCAGCAGCGGGGGGGCAGGGCGGGAGGAGAGGAGGGGAGGCTGCCCTGCAAATTAAAGGAAGGGATGGTTTCCATTAGTTTTAAGACTGCCTATCCCCCTACCTGTGCTCTGGCTTGTCCCTCGCTGCCCCCTAAAAAATGAAAAGGGCCTGAGGCAACATCCCTTCACTATTAATCATTATTCCCCGTACAACATCCCAATTGGTTTCTATGGAAATGATTCTCCTGCTAGAGTACCCCGGCTGCCTGCGCATCTAATCAGGGAGGCAGGAGAGCTGCAGGGGAGGAGATCTGCCTCTGCGGCACCCAGCACTGCTCGCACTGCTCTGCGCGGGGCTCCCCGCAGACAGGAGGGGAGTTTTGGCTGGAAGCAGA